TATGGACGACCTTTGATCGACGCCAAAGTGATCTTTAGAGTGTCAACCTACTTATTGTGGCTAAATGAAGGTTATAAAGCAGTTTGAAGAATAAGCATTATGATTCACAATTGATGATTATGGTTAGGAAATAGATTTAAGATTTTTCATCACGAACTGACGTCAGCTAAGATGCCAAGATGCTATTTAGTCAAGTGGGTTGAGTGAATTTTGCGCCAAAATCCAAGACCTGTTATCCTAAATCTGATTGCTTCGTCCAAAAATTATAGTTTCGTCATAATTACTCCATGGGACAGATTATATAAAATTTCTTCGGGTTTATTTTTAATAATTATTCCAACGACGGACCGGGAAAACATAAACTGCAGAAAGTATAATAAACTTTTGAAACTAATCATCATTAACAATCGTGTTGTAGGGCATTCAAAAGCGTACCAGAGTTCCCCTGTTTTCTAAAATCTTTGGAAATATCAGCACAAAGGATCGATGCAGTAAGGTTCATCACATTTTGTCACCTCTTTTGAAACTCAAATTTGGTAACTAAATACTGAGTGCTTAAACTGTAGACTCCTTTACTTGTTATATAACTAATTTCTTCATATTGTTCTAAAGAAAAGTTCGGCAACTTGAATCGATACATATTTACACAAAGTGCTACATTAGAACTGCCAGGCATCCTATTTTATAATAAAAATTTATGGCGAAAATGAAGTGATTGCTAGTAAGTAACCAAGATTAAGCTTTAGTTCTGACATAGCAGAAGATTTTTAAAGTCTGGATGTGTAACTGTATAGCGGGTGTCGGCTAACACGAAAACCTAATTCAAAACTTCTGATGTTTATTCTAGTATCTAAAACTTTCTTTTTATATCACCAACATTGTATCATGAATTCGAAGTCATTAATATTAGAGATTTACCTTGAAAATAACAGTATATATGTATATATGGATTTTTTGGTTCAAAGACTTAATAACTTTTTTGACTGAACGTTTAGTAGTAATTTTTGTTAGACTATGTGCAGTCACAATATGCATTATTCAACATCTAGTTGTGTTTTTTCAGAGGTATTTTCATTCATGATTTATACTTAGTTACAAACGTGCTTTTATTATTTAGACAATTGCAACATTCATTAACAATTTTTACGATTACATGCATATTAACAATGAAAATTTAAATACATAGAATTTCCATGTGAAATACTGTAGATACACTGAATTAAATTACAGAACACTGTAAATAGAAAGTTTATTTGAATAATAGTCTGGAAAAAATATTACTCCTTCAACGCTTTTAGGCTTATTTATGTTATATTCTCTTTGTCTTGATAGATTACATACTCAATAAGTGAGTATATATCCATTTAGTTTCTCTGTTTATTAGACACCGTAGTTGTAGTTTATAACCTAAAAGAAAATGCAGCTGTATGTTCTGAACTACCCACCAAACGGATAATGATTAATTTTAACGTACTTTATTACGCTATAATAATCAGATATCCTTATTTGCATTTTCCATGCTGAATTCGTTAGCTCTCTTCAGAGTAAAGATCAAGTAACAGAAACATTCAACCTACTTTTTATTAATATAAAAACATTAAGGAATTAGTGGAAGTAATTAGAGTGCCAATACATTAATTCATTCATTTAGATGTAATTCATTTACTAACTAATAGTTCATGCACCAACTTTGTACCAAGCATTTTGTGCTACTAATGCAGCCCTGGGTATCTAGGTCGAAATAGATGAGGAAAGATTTGAGCGTTTGACTTAATGGTTGAATGCCAAATGTTTAAACCGGTATAGCATCGCCAGTGGACACATTAAATTTAAATACTTTAAGGTAACAGTTTTATTTTTTACTACACCTGAATGTAATTGTAACGGTTTTGTGAAGCTGATCAGAATTCTCCCAAGTAATGATTGTTTATGATAACCATCTTTTATGCACGTGTACGGCATCGTTCACAATGCTTCAAATGATTGGAATGTTAATCAGAATATTTTATATAACTCTCTCATTTATTCCTAAATATAATTTACGTGGAGAATAACAAAAGGTTTTTTGTTCAAATGGTGGACAAACAGTCAGTATCAAAAATTAGGAATAATTTTAAGTGTAACAAGGGGTTTATCTCAGTATGTGAAACTTCAGTAGTACAGGCGATTAAATAATATCATTACTATTTTCATTTAGGTTGTAAATGAAATTTTTGTACAATAAAGAATATCTGATAATGCATAATAGTACAACCAACATTTGAAGTACGAACCGTACTTAAAGCATTCGAATAGTATAGAGATTGACAAGTATGAAATTGAATAGTTCATATAGTAGGCACTACTTTCAATATGAAATTACTTAGGCCTAGAAAATATTATTACTGAGTTAAAAGTCATTTCAAACAAACTGACATTTTTTACATTTCTTAAATTTATTTTGATTGTTAGAGTTGAATATAAAAGATATATACTTATATCCTATGCTTTAGCATTCAGTTAAAAACTTATGTGTTTTTAATACACACATTAGTTGTTTTTATCACAAAGTTACTCTTTGTTCAGCCATAAAACTCACCCCTTCACTAAATAAGTACGGAAAAGTAATAAAAGCCCTGATACTTCCGGACACATGAGAAAACCGCCATCAAAATAGAATACTTTTGATTGCTAGCTTAATTACGGGTCTATACATTAAAAGTGTTTATCAAGGAAAGTTTATTCATTAATGTATTTAACTAAGAATTAAACGGATAATTTCCCATAGTAAGTGGAAAGCTAAATATAATCATAGTCTTCTACTTGCTGTGGACTATTCTTTTGTATTTTTGAATTTCGAGATTAAGGAAATATCGGTACTGAGATTTGAAAAACAGATGTCCAACTCATGGCCTAGGTCACAGCTTCTCACTGCAACTTTGAAAGTTCCACTCAAATTAGCGCTTGGTTATTGTTAACCCAAGTTTATGAAGACTGTTCAGTTTATAAAACGGACAGCTTCCTGGTTTTTGATAATTATCTAATGTCAGACACATATGCAAACCACAACTTGGGAAGTATCCAAAAGCTTCCCATGTTAAGATACATTAATTTGATGAGGGAAACTACATAAATGGGATTTAAGGTAACCCATTGTGTCATTGGATAAAAATAAAGAGGATTCAGAAAATTTTCATTTCAACGAAATCATTAACCTAAGCTGATAATTATCTCCCATAGTTTTGACCCGTAAATTATTTTCATCCTTCTACTCTCGTCTAACACTTGATTATTACGTAACTTCATTTGACAATTGGAGTCTCGAACCACTTTATGGTGCGATCTTCTCTGCCCTTTTATAGGCATACATCTTCCCGATGTGAGTTCCTCATCCGATATTTCAATACCCTATCTAGCTGCTTTTGTAGTGAGTGACCACTTAAGTGGGAAAGACCAATTTATTGTCTAATGGACATTCACACAGTGGTTTAGTAAAATGTGAAAATCATACATCATCTGTACACCATTAGTTCTCCTTTACATCCTTCATAATTCTTCCAATTATTTTTGTTCCGATTCCTTTATTCTGTTCAATTTTCTTTTGACAAGTATTTTACTTCTGGTGTTACATACTGCTTATGTTTTTCAACATAAGTAGCGTTCACCACACCTTTACCACGCTATTGTTATTTCAGTTGATATCTGATGAATAAACATGTTCATATGTGGGATCGTTTAATTTTAATGTAGCTTTTGAGGTATACCATCTTCTTAATTGTTACATGCAGGGCAGATACACATATTGCATATCTCTATTTGTAAGGTTTACATAGTTAATACTCACAATTACGTTCTTTCTTGACGAAAACCATTTAATGCAACAGCTTTTAAAGCTACACAGAAAGCAATTAGACTACTTCTAGTAGTATAACTAGTTGGAACTAATTTTTATTTTGACTGATCCATCAGACAGATGATATACTGAATTAATCAAGACAATCAGTCCGTCAATACGAAACCATTCCCTTAACGTCAAGATTACTCTATGCTTACATCACAAGCAAACAATGATTTTAATGCGTGTAAAACCCAATTATACAATGCCTTCTACTTTCAATTACAGTCAATGAATTACTAAGTAATGGTCGATGTCATGTATATCAGGTTTTTTTTCAATGCTGATGGAATTCTACCTATCAAGTTGTAATCTAACCACCAGTCTATGTGACTCGATATCGCGCACAATATGTTGAGATTTAAAATAAGTATAGTCGACAGGGATTCCTATAAACTACCTCTAACCAACCTGTAATCGTAATACATGTTCATACAAATAAGAAAATCCAAATGAAGAGTGGAAATTGCAAACTAGAGAAAATACCTGTTGGTAGGAATATATGTACAGCTGAACAAAATACCATCAAAAAAAATTGGTCAAATTCGACAGTAAATGACTTACTGTCAAATGATAGTGTTCATTCGTAATCAACTCACAGCTAGTGAAGTTATGGACGCTTAAAATGCTCCACTAATACACCACATTTACTAACTACATATATGTGTAATAGGCTTTAAACTACACCTTATGTTTGAGGGCTAGTAATATCACCAGGTTGCAAAAACTGAATTAAACAGATAAACATTTAAAGTTCTAACTAAATGGTTAGAACCTGAATTTTCTAACCTCCAAACTACTACTTGATACTATTTGGTTAGAAATTTCATCTCTTAAATGTTTCATTATTATTAATTATATTTAAACAACACGAAAATGTGAGAAATGTCCATTTTTAACACAAAAGAATTCATATAGCATGCTAAAATGAAAAATCTTTTTTTCTTCTGTCTTAACAACAACCAGATAGTTAGATATAAATTTCTCTATTTGGTATCCTGATAAAACAAAAAATTATTTAACTTTTTGAAAAATATGTATTTAATTCTGTAACTACTCTCTCTCTCTCTCTCTCTCTCTCTATATATATATATATATATATATATATATATATAATCAATAATATAAAACTTTTATGAAGGAAAGAAGATAGATTACAAATTATGACAGAAATGATCAAGAAAATAGGTCATCCATAATATGTGTGATGGTAAGCAACTAGACATAAACAACAACAACAATAATAATTACGGAAAATTTCAATCTGTGTCATCCATCTAAAATATAAAAAAAACGTAGTATAATGTATGTTCAATTAAACAACTTATTAACAAGTTAAAACATGCTAATGTACACTTCATTAAATTTTAAATACTTTTTTGTCAGAAGGGGTTTGTGGAGATTTTAGAAATTTTCACAGATTGAAATCATGAGTCAGTTGAAGCTAGACCACCACTGAAAACCTGGAAGCACTGGACGGCCGTTTCGTCCTAGTATGGGAATCCTCAGCAGTGCGCGGGATCGTGGATGCGCACTTTTTTTCAGTTGAAGAGAAAAGATTATAATCCACAACAATCTATTTATGAGCATTATTGTGGTACGATATATGCAATTTTGTCAATTAACGTTTAAATGATAGTTGTTATTATAATTTATTCATTGGTTGTAATGTAACAAGCTGACTATTGTAGAATGAATAGTTAATTTATTGAAATGAATTTCTCGACAGTTTGCTCGGATAGTGATATTAATTTGGAAAATTAAGTATATAAGTAAATCGTTATAGTGGATGATGACAAATAACTATGTGCTTGTGAGTTAAAAATATTAAGGAATTAACTCTATAGTTGGTGTATAAAAATGATGCCCGTATATTCATTCTGATCTGTTTGGTTAAAAGATATTATCAATTTATACGTTATATGGAATAAATAACACACTAGAAGACTTCTTGCTAAGAAAAGTCAAGAAGTATAGAATGTTCAAAAATTTCACTATTTGTTAACTTTAATAATTCTGGATAATACATTACTAAATGTTGTTACTCACTGAGCAATAACCAATGTCATGGTATTTAGTCCCTAATGATGAAAGAATGCTAAAGATTAAGTTGTGATATGGACATTACGGAAAATAGATTAACATTGGAGTGCACTTCGTTTGATGTTACGTGGTTGGATTTAATCGCCTGAAAGTCGTTTACCTAAGTTGTTTGTTGGTTAGAATCCATAAGTAAAGCAACAACGATCGGAAGTTCATTTTCCTTTCAACATTAAAAACCAAGAAGTCTATCAATGTCCGAAAAGTTCAAATGACAAGCAGCATAAAAATGGATAACACTTACCAAATGCTCAACTTTGAGAACACAATTGGGCGATACAGGCTGATTATCTTTTGTTTCAACAAAATAAGGTATTGTAATATCTTCCAAGTTCAAAAACTTACGACTTTCTGAATGAGTAACACCGATTCCCGGGATTTCGTCATTGCACAAAAGACCGAAACCTATGCATTTGAAGAGGATATATTATAAAGAATCTAATACATTACAAGTTAATCGATATATCTTTTTAAGTATTCCATCGACCTTCTAGAGATGAGATAGATAAGTCTATTACTTACGCCTGTTACCCCTCGTGGAGGAGCATAAACCGCCCACCGGCATCCTCCATCAAACTCTGTCCTAGACAATTCGTTCCAGTTGCTATTCATCCTTTTGATATATGCTTCCGATTCTTGGTACAATGTTTTCCTTGGTAATCCTCTTTTCCTATTCCCTTCAGAATTCCAAGTTAGTGCTTGCCTCGTCATGCAGTTTGATGATTTCCGCAAAGTATGTCTTATCCACTTGCATCGTCTTTTCCTAATTCTCTCTTCATCTGGAAGCTGGTTTGTTGTCTTCCGTAGTAGGCTGCTGCTGATGGTATCCGGCAAACGGACATTGTGTATCTTATGTAGACAATTGTTTACAAATACTTCTACTTTTTTATGATGATTGTGATAGTTTTCCAAGTTTCAGCTCCGGACAGTAGAACTGTATTGACGTTCGTATTGAAGATTCTGCCTTAGATATTGGCTGACAGATGTTTTTAGTTCTATGTGTTCTTCAACTGTAGGAATGAGGCCCTTGCAGATAAGTCTATAGTCGTTAATAAAAAATCAGCTCACTTTTACATGATTTAAGAGCTGATGATGTTATCCAGAACAACAATAAAAATCTCTCAATTAAACTGCCAGCTCATAAAATGCAATAAAAATCTTCCCTATCATTTTATAACAAGTTGTTTCTTGTGGTCACATGTATACAGGTGCATACTGGCCTTTTTATCCTGTTTATATATAGTTTTCATCTCAAATACGAAAAAAATAAATTGTATAGACAATATACATTTAAATACCTTGTGCAATTGTTTCCAGCCAAAACGACAACTTGCTATCATTAGCAGCACGTTGAGATGAGACATTACCTCCGAGAAGATTACGATCGATAAGATCCTGGCGCCAACTACGAATAAATGAGTTATATGCTCGAGCAATTTCAAGATTATATGTGCTGCCGTTGGATGTAGCATCATTAATATGATTGTTTTCATTACTATTATTGACGATTTCTCTACTTGGTTGAGCATGCTTACGATAAGCGAACAGGTAAGCGATAGCTTTTGGACGCAATAAAGTTGCAGTGAAAGGATCAGTCACCAATTGAATTATTTCTTTCTCCAAAAGTCTACAAGCTAAATCATGCAAAGTGAGTAGTTTAATAAATTCAAGTACCAGAATAAACCTTAGTTCCAAAACATAACTGGTAATAGAAACACACGATAGACTTTCATAGAAAATACCAAACAAACATTGGTGATGTGACATTAGGTCTCCTGAGGTACTAAGCCGAACTTATGTAAATTTCTTTCTTATGTTCATGAAGTAGATGTCTCTAATTAGCTTTTTACTTAAGTATTAAAAAATAAATAATTACAGTTTATTATTCTTTCTAACCAGACGTTTTTTAAACTGAAAAGTACTTAGGTCGGAAGATAAAAATTATGATGAAGCTAACAATTTTTGTAGATTGGAAATTTATTCTACATTTAATAAATCAAGACTTTATTTATTATTGTTATACTAAAACTGTATTCTGTAAAAACTATGCGAAGCGACGATTACCTATAAAATCCAAGTTATTTCTGTTACGAAATAAAATATTGAAAACAATAGATCGTAGATTATCTCAAACTGCTGCCAAAATTTCAGGAACATATTAGGCACCATAAAGTCTATAACATGGGTGATGGGTTCATTTTTACACGCTTTGGGTCCCCACTAGAACTCACTGACGATTGCATAACAGAAACCTGAAGCATTGCTTTGACTTCTGTTGTGATCAATCCAAGTCCTGTCGATTGAAAAACTATCAACGCTTTTCCTAGAGAAGGGAGCTTCGTTTATACTGTTTTTCTTCCTCCTCTACATTTGACGATGAGTGATCACAATGAAGTTACATGAGTTCGTCTCGAGGCTGTAATGCTTACAACGCAGGAAGGCTCATCATGTTAATAACTGTTCTTTTACACGGTCTACTGTCATTATTCGCTCAGATAACATCATATAGATGCAATCACTTAAACTTGAGTACAGAGGAGGAAACACAGTGACAGGATACAGCAGGACTGCTAACAACAGGTTAGTTATCTATATATGGCGAAACCAGGCACATGTAGCAGTAACACGGCTCCTAGCAGACTCTCGACGACTTATTTGCCTTTCGTACTAGAATCTATTCTAAAAACCATCACATATGGTGGGCTTGTAAATTATTACAGAAAGTATGTAAGAAAGATCGCACTTAACAGATAGAGTCGAGTAACATCACACCGTGAATAATGTTCTGAAATAATTCTTAGCATCAACATCATCATTGTTAAACAACCTAGTATATACTACAGTAAAATGTCATAGGATCGATTAGTAGTAGTAAGTTTAAGATCATGGCTAGTCGACTAGAACTTGTAGTTCGTGCATAATGAGGGACAGCTTCATTTCGGAATAAAAAGTTCTTATATTTTATTTATTCATTGGTAAAATCTTTGCTAACTTGCCAACTTAATTTAAAGTAAAAATTATGTGGTATATCAGTAGCTTTTCTTCTAATCCAAAATGTGAGGATACTCCAATGAATTTTCCTTTAAACAACGTACTCACAAAAAGAACGAAAAGTGGACAGGCAGGATATAAGTAGAAACAAAAGCCCATTGTAGCTATCTCATCGATGAACCCATATACGATACAACAACAAAAAGGCATAATAAATGATGAAAAACGAAAAGTGGACATTTTTACGCGAGACAGTGTAGTTTAACGAGATCTTTAAATAATGTCAATAATGATCACTGTAATGCTACATGGAAAATTTCATCATATGAAACATACCAACTTCAATTTGTTGTTGGGAGATTAGGTCTTCAAAATCTTGAACTGAGTTTATTTGAATGGAATTTGATGCCAGTGTGTTTTGAAGCAATGATTTGCTAGTTAATTCCGAACTTGCAGTCAGTTGTTCGCTTGGATATTCACTGTCTATTTCTTTCGTGAACGAGGAAGTAGCATAAAGTTCTTCATCCGCTAAACGCCGTCTTTTCGCCAAAAATTCTTCTGTCAAATCGACTGGATCACTAGCAGGACGAAGAGGTGGAAATGAATTAAGAAGAACATTACGGGATTCAATTACAGATGCAGTCTCGGAATTAGTATTGATTTGTGTGATGATTTCCTCCAAACCAGGAAACATTTCAGGTGACAGCCAAACATCAGAAGAATTTGATTGCTTTGAAATTGGAAGTGGTACTGATGGATTAAGACCCCGTTTTCTAAGGCAGGCAAAGAAACGTTGAATCCAAGGGTTTGATATCCGTTGAACTTTTAAGCTAAATTTAGGCAAAAATAATAAAGCGGTAAGTTAATAGAAGAAAAAGTATCTTACGCTTTACTGTCTACGGGCAAATATTTATTTTTAGACTATTACACAGTATAATATACTTGGTAAGTTTAACTTGAATTTGTGTGGTGTGTTAAAGAAAAGTTAAAACATCATCATGGTCAATATCCAATAGACATGTCACTATTAACATAAATATTATTGGTGGTAGTAGCAGTATATATGGATTTGTATATACATATTTGATAGCAGAAGATCAGGTAAACCAACATGTACTACAACACTAATTCATAATTACAAAAAATTTGTATCATAGAACATGGTTGATAGCTTGCATTTCGGTGTGAAAAACTATTAATTTTGAGTTAAAGAAACAGAATATAGTTAAAAAAACGTGTGATCTCGATATTGCTTCCACACTTAATTAACACAGCAACCCATAATACATGGAACTGAAGATACAGAGAATCAATGTGCATAACTGGTGATAACAGAAATTAGATTATTTAAAATCTAATTTAGAAATTACAAAAGTGGAAAATTATATTTATGTTAAAGAGAAAACTTAGCGCCAATATAGTTTAGTAAGTATTCAAGTAATTTCATATCCATCTTTCGAATACTTGTAAAAACCAACTACACAGTACATGAATTTGATTATTGAAATAAAAATGAATTCATGCTATTCTGCTAGAATGTTTGTTCTTGCTCTTTTCAAAATGATAAAGGGAACTATGTGTATGATATTGAATAATTGTCCGATTAAATATGAAACAAATAAATGAATGGTCAACTGTTACAAGATGCTTAGAATACTGTAGTTCATAAAACAAAGTATACAAATGAAAGACAATAATTCATTTGTATAAGTCTAGATGAAATGATTTAGAATTGATAAACATCTACCAACAAATCCACTACAGTAAATTAATCACAGACCGTTTTATACGTTGCTGACCTTTGTTTTCAATGAAACTGTCAGACCAAATTTCCCTAAATATAGTGCTTAAGATGTGAATTCAGGGAGAAATTGAACTAGTTTGTCATTGACTAGAATGTGTTCATTACATTGATTAAATGTACTGAGTATAACGATAGTGAAGCGATGAAAGTATGAAAAACTACTTAGGGCCATAAAGACTGAAGGTATCTTAAGAAATACTTGATGACAAGAGTTGAAAACAATTAAATGACTGCCAGCTGAAAGATAAATCTTATTCACTGTTTTTGTTATTGAATAATGCATATTTGTTGTACAGGTCATGTTACGTAATAACTTTTCTGAACCTCACTACGTCTGCAAAATGAAAAAAACTACGAGGAACTAAAGAAGTTGCTGTGTCAAAATGAACTGTACAAAGCGAAAGGATCAACTATAGGATAAAAAAAGGTTAGGAGAACTCCTTAGTGTTAAGATTATAGTCAATAATACTCATAGTTTTAACCACTATACATTACACTAAATACAAAACATGCTGAAATGTGTTTTGGAATTACTGTATGTTAAGATGTAACCCACTCAATTAAATCACGACTGCTTAAACTTCTTTATTTGATTATTCGTAAACAAATATGTGGAAGTTAAAGTATACAGGAAAACTAGAGAAATCTTATGATCTGTAGTTAATTTGAAAGTTAATAAAATCATATGTAAAATCACTGCTCACATCCTATTTGATGAAGGATTTTTCACGTCATTTTCGTCTTTCTCGTTGAGTTCACCACCACCACCATCATCATCATCACTTTCATCTGAATAATTTAACATCATGGAGTTAATAAAAGAATCCATAACTGATAACTGTTCCTGAGATGGGCAATCTTTACGCAATTTCATAGTGTTTGAAGACTTAACAGGACATTCCGTATTGGAAGTAGAAGGCTCACAGGAAACTGGTAAACTTGGAAGTTTCAGATTGCGAATATCTTCACTAAACGCCATATCAGTATACATGAGCGATATCTGATCACCATGAATTCTAAAGGTCAATCGAACAACATTTTAAATGGTAATAGTATTCCATTGGATTTTTTGACTTTGTAAGTACATGATAACGAAAAATCACGATGCATTTTTATTTCCGTATAACAACTGATGATTGTGAATTAAACCCAAACTAACTTGGAATAACAGCAAATAATCACTTCTGTAATAAATGACCGGATACATGCATCTACACTAACACTATCACAACTGAGGGAAACATAGCCCCGCAGTGAATAGCTAATAACATTGTAGTTAGTATGCTTATTAGCGAAAGCTATAGTTACATCTATTTTTGAAATTGTTAGCTAGGATAAAACCACTTGTTTAACATCTTGTCGTGAAAGTAAACAGAAATTTACAGACAAACAAACAGATGAAAAACCAGTTATTGCTTACTCTGGAGTTAAAACTCCTAATCTAACGGCACTTGTCTGATTGTACACTCTCCGGACAAGAGCAACACCACTAATCTCATAAAGTGCTTGAGCCAACGCTGCCAAAGCTGTTGAACAGGATGGGCGATTGGTTACATCATCTTCAGATTGTTTGACTGACTGGGCAACAAAAACCAACACACTTTCACCAGTGTAAAGGTTATGAGGGATCTGGTCAAGGACGAATGAGAATGAAGGTAAACACATACTTAAGTTACGTAGATAAATATGGGCAAACAGTTTCATTAACTGACAGTCTATTTGCCTATAATTACATATCTTACCCCGCCGAATGCGTGGAATAGTGGGAAGATACCCATGATAAAATGGCTTTAATTAATACATGTATCCGTCCAAAGAGGTCATGAATCACAATCATAGAACAGCACATAGTAGACTGCGTATAATGTACCTTACAGCGATTCTCTTTAATGACTATAAAACCTGTTTGTACCCACTTTTTGTCTCGATGCCACAAGTTACCAAGTCAGGGAATATGTCTCTTTATGTTTGAACGCAAGCTTGGTAAGGAACAAGTGGTTTCTGGAACATAATTATAGACGATTATCAATGTGACCGACTTGTCACAATAAATTTACTATTTAAACTGATGAAACGTTCAGGCGTTGAAATCAGCTAGTAACAAAAATCTCAGGCGACAGTAAATAGTATTCCATAGGGTCAGATTATAAGTAAATGTAGCAGAGTAAGGGATTATATACGTTGTGAGAGTGATGATGTCCGTAAAAAAAAGACAAGGAGAGCCAATGAAAGGACAGAGATCGAAAAGGTCACTGTTTTGTAGAGGGGATTTCTGTGTTATTACATTTGCAGAGTTGTACTTCGGGTACATTTGCAAAATTTATTTATTTGAACACATAAATATTGGTACAAGAGTGCGCCAAATATATGTGCGATACACAAAACAATGAGAATTTAAGGAGAAGGAAAAATAAAAAAGGGTAAGGAGCGTAAAAAAAGAACTATAACAAAGAGATTGGTGTTAGGTAGTTTAATAATAATAGTAGTAATAATGGAGGAACGGAAAGGTACAATCAGAGAAAATCTTTCAGTTAAGGAAGATACAACCACTTTTTACAAAGAAAGTAAAAGAAGGTTGCAGCAGGATCGCCACTGGCTTCTATTCTGAGCCATATCTGATAACGTCTCTAGCCACTGTGTAGCACCATCTCTCGGACCCCAACCAGGGAGTCGTGAAGGACCAACACAATCCAGTCCTTTGCAGCTTTCTTTCATGCCACGACACCATGTCGTGCACTGACCACCTCTCCGCTTCTTCCAACCAGTCCCAGAGTCGGCAAATAATGCACGACGTGGAATTCTCTGGGACGACATTCGTAGAACATGTCCAAGCCACCGAAGTCGGTGTTTCAAGATGATGACACCGATTGCATTATCGTCTCTGTGCCCGAACACACGATGCCGAACCTCTGCATTACTAACATGGCGTTGCCACTGGATGTCAACGATCCTTCGGAGACAACGATGATCGGACACAGAGTCGTCTAACGTCCTCGACTCGGAGAGGCCAGGTTTCACAGGCACAGAGCAAAACTGCTCTCACCGACGCGTTGTAGATCCGACCTTTTACAGCCACACTAACATCACGAAGGCGCCAAAGATGGCCCAGATTGGCATAAGCCGCTCTGGCTTTCACTATTCATGCATTGATCTCATCACTCACACCCCCACCAGCACTTATGCAGCTACCCAGATACACGAACTTCTCGACTACTTCTATCTGTTCACCATCCAGAGTGAGTACAGGATTAGAATCCTGCCAGTCTTGTAGAAGTACTTTGCACTTCGAAGGTGCAAAGCACATACCGTACCTACGGACACTGATTGCCAACTGATTAAGTGCGGATTGCATCGCTTGGGCATTATCGCACAGTAAGACAATATTATCCGCATACTCAAGGTCGAGAAGTCTTTCTCCAGGCAACAGATTTACACCACCATTACTTACATCCATCAGAGCTGTTTCCAGAATGTCGTCGATGGCAAAGTCGAAGAGGAATGGTGAGATTGGGCAACCCTGTCTAACCCGACTGCTCGAATGGAACAATGGAGAAAGGTGGTTGTATGCCCTCACTCTGCCTGAGGTGTTTGTATATAGGGCTTTTAGGATGTTAATAAACTTCTCAGGCACACTCTTCTTGAATAGACAATCCCAGAGAACAGTCCTATCCAACTAATCGAAGGCAGCCCTGATGTCAAGAAACACTACGATTGTTGGCCTTTGATAAGTATGGCGGTGTTCTAACATTTGGCGGAGGGTGAAGATATGATCAATACATCCTCGACCAGAACGAAACCCAGCCTGCTCCTCGCGAGTCAATCTTTCTCGGGTTTTGAACAACCTACGAAGTATGACGGAAGCCAATAGCTTGGACGCAATCGGAAGTAGACTTATCCCCCGATAGTTGTTACAGGAACGACGTGAACCCTTTGGCGCCTTCGTGATGTTAGTGTGGCTGTAAAAGGTCGGATCTACAACGCGTCGCTGAGAGCAATTTTGCTCTGTGCCTGTGAAACCTGGCCTCTCCGAGTCGAGGACGTTCGACGACTCTCTGTGTTCGATCATCGTTGTCTCCGAAGAATCGTTGACATCCAGTGGCAACGCCATGTTAGTAATGCAGAGGTTCGGCATCGTGTGTTCGGGCACAGAGACGATAATGCAATCGGTGTCATCATCTTGAAACACCGACTTCGGTGGCTTGGACATGTTCTACGAATGTCGTCCCAGAGAATTCCACGTCGTGCATTATTTGCCGACTCTGGGACTGGTTGGAAGAAGCGGAGAGGTGGTCAGTGCACGACATGGTGTCGTGGCATGAAAGAAAGCTGCAAAGGACTGGATTGTGTTGGTCCTTCACGACTCCCTGGTTGGGGTCCGAGAGATGGTGCTACACAGTGGCTAGAGACGTTATCAGATATGGCTCAGAATAGAAGCCAGTGGCGATCCTGCTGCAACCTTCTTTTACTTTCTTTGTAAAAAGTGGTTGTATCTTCCTTAACTGAAAGATTTTCTCTGATTGTACCTTTCCGTTCCTCCATTATTACTACTATTATTATTAAACTACCTAACACCAATCTCTTTGTTATAGTTCTTTTTTACGCTCCTTACCCTTTTTTCTTTTTCCTTCTCCTTAAATTCTCATTGTTTTGTGTATCGCACATATATTTGGCGCACTCTTGTACCAATATTTGTGTTCAAATAGTAAATCAAATAAATATATTGATATTTTATGAATGTCATTACGATATATTGAAACTTACTGGAAATAAATAGCCAATATTCATTTTCAAAAGTCTACATAAAATGGATGGAACTCACTTCATGAAACAAAAAATACCTAGAAAGTACACGTAAAAGAGAGTAGGTATGGGAGACTCACATTGTCAGCACTCGTAAATCCAATAACGCTGAAACACTTTTCTGAAGTGGGTTTTATGGAGGCCATATCTTCTTCACCAAAGGGGACTACAGTCCCACCATACCGGTAACCTTTATTGTAAACAGTAAGATAATCGAAGAACACACAGTTGTGGGACAAACATATCTAGGACGTAATTACTTGGAAACTAGAAGACGAATCAGTATCATTAAGTTTAATGGTCTGACGAATCCATCAGTTTATTTATTTATTTTAACACATAGATAGTGGTAAGAGGAGGTCCCAAATACATATCGCCACATAAATCTCATTTGTTATGTGTGAGGGCTGTGATACTGCCCGGGTGCCCAAACCGAAGCAGGTGGTTTTCTTAGGGGGCCACACCCGGAGTCTTCGACCTGAAGGTCTGATCCACAAGGCAGTGGAGCATCGTAAGGAGATGCAGTCCCATGGAAGCCGATGACCAACAATTGGTTCATACGCCACTTGTTCCCGCAGGATACTGGAGCCCATGTGCACCATTGGTTTGGAATCAGGGTTTTCCAACCCCCTAGGTGGACTCCCCATGTTCACCAACCCGGTTAAAGCGCCGGACATTCGCGTTTCGTCCTCTCAACTTCGTAAACAACACCCCTGCCACGAGAAGGCAGGGAGTAGGACTTCCCTGGCAGAAGCTATATACGCGTGGCCATGTGGGAGCATTTCGAGAGACAGAGCAGACTCTCCCCACTCTCGGCCGTACCAGGGCATTCGGGGACACCCATCAGTAGATAAGTTCACAAGTTAATTGACAGGTTGGATGCTCAACAAGCGACCTCCAGTTTTCATTCTCTTAAATCAAAAATGATACTCATTAATTAGGCAAAAATCGCAGCTGAATATATATCTACTTGAAAATGTGTCGAATGTTTAGACATATCAATATAAATCAACTACATATAGAACTACCGTTAGTCTTTAGATTGTTCTGTATATTAACAACGATGTTTAATCCCTACTAATAATTCTTGCTTAATCAATAGAGAGGATTATACATCACACAGATAGAGTGGCCGAATTAGTAGTTCAGATTCGCTGTCACAATCACAATATTAAATTTCGAATATCTTTTTGTTTCAAAATACCTGTAGAAGTAGTATTATTTCCACACTTCTGCCTATTGTCCGAAAAACAAACATGTAACTCTGGACGTTCCAATGGCCCCTTGTACCCAAAGATTCTGTTTATATTAAGCTGGTTATATACCAGGATAGTAAAAATTAAACTTATTACGGAACTTCTAGTACGTGTTATATAGTTTATTCAGATTGATATATGATTAAAGAATTGTAGCTAAGTTTAAGTTTTCGAGAACATTCTAAGTTAAGTATTATTCGACATTAAACATTGTAAACATTTTACAGAAATCATTATTTTAACTTCACAACGTTTACCATAAATTCCTTTTGTAGAATTCTTACCTCGAGTAACTTCAGAAGAGTTTAAATCGGAAGGATCTGCATCTTGTGTACAATATTTTGTAACAGCGCGCAGTGGAAGAGAAGGATCTGGGGCGTACAGTATCTTCATAGTTGGTGGATGAGCCTCCTTTATATGTGTATAGCCGACAACTGGGATAGTGATCGAATCGCCAATTTGCAAACCTACATTCCAACCACGTTGCGAAACGCTACGGGTTTCGAATATACTCAATGCAGTGACTGCATCGCTTAAGAGAACAAAAATAAAAGCATTTAGTAGAGGTTTGTCTCAATAGATACACAACTACACCAAATACTGAAGGGACTACAAAAAATTCTAGCCGATATATGAGCTTAAACTAGAACTGTCGAAGTTAAGGTATTCTTACCGTAAAGAGAAGGCAGGGTTTTACATATTGAGCGAAGATTGAATAATTAATTATTCAAGCTACTTCATAACGGAGTCAACAACTGAATTTCTTTCGTGGCGTTAGGGAATTGTCTGACAATTCATAGATGAATCAATCACGTACTCACGTCTCCGACCAAATGGCTTAAGCATGGTGGTCCAGTTTCAGTTACTAGATTGGATGAGAAATTAGCTATAGTCTGGAAACATGACGTAATCTCACCTCACAGGTCTTGATCACTGACCGTTTTAGTTTATAGAAAGACTAAAAAATCCTGGTGATAATCACAGAACGACCAGTTAGACTAATATAGTGCCTAAATTACCACCCTCCATAATCATCTAGAGCTTGAATGGGGCTCGCGAAAAGCAAACTCTGGAAAACTAGGCTGACCTCAGACTTAGATGTAGACCAAATATTCACCATTCGCCAGATCTCCAAGCACAAATATGCTTACCGCCGTTCAACTATCGTTGTATTTTGACCTAAAGGCAGCGTTCTTTTGTGTTGATAAATAGGTTTTATTGAAGGGTATATCATTGAAAGTCGTACCAAAGTACATTAACCTTGTACACTACTTAAATGATACTTGTCGAGTAATAGCGTATGGTTAATTGTTATCGAAATTCGTAACTGTAGAATGTGTCCTCAAACTTATCTGCCTTTCCCATTTTTATCTAAATTTGTCAAACACATCCTTTTAGGGATAACGGTCTCGTCTTACATTTTAGGAATTGATTTCTTACCGGGAGGTTCACTGGTTTGCTTAAAATATGCACATGATACAGTTGTTTAGTGAAAACGCTGACATAACATAGTCTTATGACAGCCTTTGAAAACGATACAAGGATGTTTGGAGTGCTTTCTTCTTCATCTAGATAAATGTTGCTTAACGATTAGTTCATGCAAACTGAATTAACAATCGAGAGTAAAGTACTTGGGTATCGATCACTTGATTTATATTTCTTAATCTTAACGTTGCAGTAGAATTTTGTATTACGAGCTTTATTATAATCCAATTACTCAACATAACCTTACGTAGATGAAGAGTCGGTGAAGACTACTTGAAGCAGTGTTTGGTATGTCTTTACCAAATGAATCAAATGAAAAGACCTCCCATTACTTTTTCCGAAGATAAATTCAACTTTTTTTCTGTTTGACAAAATGAAATAGCTAGGGAATTTCGAAATTCACAGATTTCGTTATGATTCGCACTATCAAGACCACTCAACACTGTTGATTGCTTTAATACTAAGTTTTGATAAATCATTATTTTAGTTACTTCTGCTTCTCGTGATGGTTGGAGGATTACACTGATCTGTTTGGGACTCATGAAAGCATCACTCTATTTATTTTTGAGAAGCAGATTATGCAACACTTCACTAATACCCTTGAACTGTTATACCCTCATATCTCAGTTGAATGCTCATGAGCTTTGATAATTTCGTGCTTTCACATTAATTCGAATGGTAGACGCAACTTATGTGAAGGATCTAGAAAGTACAGGGATATTCAATAGTTTTCAAAATTTAAAAGAGGAAAATTTGTGCCATTGTGATTCATTTTGAGACGCACTACTATGCGGGATTCCCGCCGACTGATTTTTGCTACTCCGAAGGCGTTATTCAAAAGGTCTAAAAAATGGGAAACTCGAATGAACAACTAACAAATTTATAGACTGATATGGTGTTTTTTATGCTACTGTCCAACCTAATCTTGCTTCGACAAACATCCTACGTCGAAATAAACAGCGACTTTCTACACATTTTTTCATGACGAAACAATCTGAGCAGCTACAAGTTCATAATCCGATTGTTTAATTAAAACTTTCTAGAATAATGTGCCTAACCTCATCACTTACGACGGAATGGTTCCGCTAAACACAAAGCTTAGTATGTAAATATCTAGGACTAAACAATTATTAGGTTCAAATAAGACAAATAGCGCTACTAACCTACCTCAAATCATATGATTCTCCGTTTAGTTGATCCCAGAGTTCAGCTAAAAAAGAAATGGAGGGTCTAGTTTTCGAAGAAGGATGATGGTGATGAGAAATGGCATGAGATGGACCAGGTTCATCCCGGTTTTCAGGTGAGATATTAATACTCTTCTTCAAATCACAACCAATCAAGCTGAATTTAATACCTGAAGACTGGAGGCTTTCAGATACCCTGGAGACATCAGAATCGTCAACTGAACCATACAAATTGCTGACAAGCAACAAGTGCTTTTCTTTTATGTTTCTTTTATTCCTGAGAGTTGGGAATACAAATGAATTATGATTACTTGCAACGATTAAACAAGTGGTCAGCGCCTACCATTAGTGCATCAACAACTATATATAACTATTAAATTCATTAAACAGTACCATCTCCTGTCGAGAGTGATAATAAATCTGGGTCTAGAAATTCCAAGACCTTCCAACTTATAGGAGCGAGTTCAAAAGTCAAACATATATTTTGAAAACTTCCTTCTTCATCAGCTAAAGGATTGTCAGTAGCATCAGAGCCGCAGAGAATAAGTGCAACTTCATCTTTTGATTCGGCGAAAAACTAGATAAAATATGACAGGTTGACGGCAATTTTTTGGACTTACTTTCTTTTCCAATAACAGCCTTACGCACTCAACAGCTTCTCTGAAATTAGGATTCATATGAATCCCTACATCAAGTACAACTCCAAGAGCAGTCTAAACACTGTGACAAATAAAATTAGCTTACTGCCATCGTATTTGTGACGGCTCACTTTTAGCTTGCAGGTACTTCGGGTGCTAGGAGGGTGCAAAGCAGCGTGGACGAGAAAAGTTGGATAGGAATAGAACAAGAAAAAAGGTAAGTCATCGAATTAGTACCCACACAGAATGGACTTAACTTTAATAAGTGGATAAAACCATACTATGCCGATAGCCCTAAGGCCAGTTAGAATCAACTAAACCGGTGTTAAATACTAGAACGAACTTAAAATTCCTGTTGTGGATAATTGGTGGATGGGACCCATGATTCTCACCATATTTTGTATTTTGAAATGAATGGATGGTCTTTCATGTGGAGTGAACTTTTAGTTGGTATGTTAGTCTGAAGAGCATTATGGTTGAATGCTAGTGTTTAGCAGTATCAGAATAGAGTTAGGGAAATTTAAGGCTGAGAATTAAGGTCTGGTAGGGTTGTATAACGACAGATTTTGGCCTAAATTACTCTTTTTGACCCTGACACGTTTGTTAACTGTGATAAAACTCTAAATCGCTTGCACTTTCATCGTTTTTCTATAGTTTAGAGCTTTTCCACAAAGCTGAATTCTGCCTTACTATTTCTGACCAGTTGATCTCGAGGTTATCCTTAAAATCTCCCAAGGTTGTTCGCATAGTATGGTCTTACCTGAAAGTGATTGACAGCAATCAGATGTATCGTAGGATGACGACAGTAAATCCTAAGTATAATGACATACGGTCACGAGCCCGTCACAGTGCCCTTGACTCATATTTGGCGCATTCCCAAATTTCGAATGGTTGTTGACAAAACAGAAGAATCTTTTGTTTCAAATGGTTCAAATGGTTGTGGACGAAATAGAAGAAGCTTTCGCCTAACAGGCTTCCGCGTCAAGTAGAAGTTGTGTCTACAATCCGTCCTGTTGTGCTGTCTCTGGTTTCTGGTAGTTATCCCTTAAGTTGGTATTAGGACTAAGTTTAAGTAGGTGTTTAAGTGGATGTCCAGAAGTCTTAAGGATACTGGAAGCCATCAGAAGGTCACCTTTCAAACGCCTATACTCTGCTGCTAAAGTTTAACTGATTGTAGGTGCTCTTCAAACATATATATATATATATATATATATATATATATATATATGGTTAACCCTTCAAAAGCTTATGAGTAATCAAGGTAAATGATACCAACCTTTCCCTTGCGATCGAGGATGCTTGTCCATTTGTCCACCGTAATCAGCAGGTTGGTTATACAAGAGCAACCCTTCCTGAAACCATGCTGTTGGGGTGAGAAGAAATTTAAGGACAGTAGATAGTCGTATAAACCGTCGCATATCAGGGACTCCATGAGCTTTGAAGGTACGGAGAGAAGAGCCACCGGTCGGTAACTTGAAAGTTTGCTGCGTCGACCTCCTTTGAAAATTGGTGTGATATGGGCCAACTTCCAATTTTCCGGTAGTTTGCCTCGGCTTAGCGAGTGTGAGAACATCACGCTAAGCGGCATGAGCAGGATGGAGGCTGCTTCCTTCGGTATGGCAGAATGGGCCATATCTAGGCCAGGAGAAGTGTCTAGTCCTAGGTGCTGCAATTTACGGAACACCAAGTCAGCGCTTAGTTTCACTTCGGAGAGTCCTATGGAATCGCAGATGAAACTGTCATCAGCAAAGTTGATGTCGGTCGGTTGAGATGTCCGAGAGCATAGTTCAGCCAAAGGGTTAGCGGCGTCGCCGTCGTTATTGGTCGGGCTGTTAAGACCCACCAGTTGGGAAACTCCAGTTTTGGCTTAACGAAGAGAGGCTGCATAACGGAATAAGCTTTTCGGATTAGAGACGAATTTATTCATAAGCTTTGTCTGGTACTGAAGCCTGTCTTCTCTTATAGCCTTCGTGCATATGTTCCTTATATGTTTATATTGCCTGTACGCTTTATTGTTGTCAATTCGTTTGTATTCCGCCCAACAGTGCTTTCTGTGGCCTAGCAGGCAAAGGGTACGGTTCTTGATTATTGTAGGTGGCTTGCAGCTCTTGGGGACCGTTTGAGGAACTGACTGCTTTGTAGCACACGAGAGCGTGTGCAGTAAGAAGTCCCAATGAGTATCCACATCGAGTTGAGGGTGAACATCCCAATCCACCTGTTGTAGATAGTCCTGTAGAGCTGACACATTCAACCGTTTGAAATTCCAGCGCAAGTTGTTGGTGAGATATCTTAGCTCACTTTTGCTGACAAAACTGAAGTCTATAACGGCGTGATCGCTTTTCCTCAGGGAAGCCAAGATTGAGAGTTGTCAACTAGAAATTCTTCGTTTGTAAATACACAGTCTAAGCGCGACGGTTTCTGACTGTTTCTCCAACGAGTTGCCGACTTCACATTTTCGTATAATCCCAAATCCTCAATGAGGTTGAAGAACCGAGCTTCAGTTGAGTTTTCACCTCCACTATACGTATGTTCGGCGAAATTGACTCTAGGGAGATCGAAGTTCCCTAGAATCAGGATATGAGTGAAACCTAGACGCGTAGAGCGGGGTAGTCTTTCTAGCATACGACTGTCATACTCGATGTCGGCAGTGGGCTTCCTATATATGACTCCGACTAGGCACTTCGAAGTAGCAGACAATCTTACAGAGCACCATATGGATTCCTCAAGATTGTTAAACTCGCGATTGTGGACTTGGTGTACCTCCAAGCAAGATCGTATGTATGTGGCTACTCCACCCCCAATTCCTGTTTTTCTGTCGTTGCGAAACAAAGACATCCCAGGTATTGCTAGCTCCTGGTCCGAGAACTGAGAAACCCAAGATTCAGATATTCCTATCAGATGAACCTTATTAGCATTGCTAAGTTCACGTAGCTCATTCATTTTGTTTGGTAGACTCGCGGCGTTCATGTATAAGCAGTTTATACTTTCAATTTGAAACACGTGAGCCTCTTCCTGTTTGTTTGTATGAGCCTTACGTCAATAGACAGTTAGCCTACCTATATAAGGTTTGCCGAGTTGGTAGGCTCTGTCCTTTACACGTTTTTTTTATGATCAAGACAGTTCACGAGTGGAATGGTCAACTCCAAATTGCCCTTGTGCTTGGTTCTGGCTTCATATGGCCTGTCCGGGTGCATGTGGATTCCAGTTGGCAACCGACGTCTGTAGGCACGAAATGCTTCCAGAGTTGCAACCGCCATGTGGGAGGATGGGAAAGTTATCCTCGTTAGCTGGGGTCTAGAATCACCGTCCTTCTTGGCTAGTCTCGTCACATGTTGAGTCAGTATGTTTTTGAGCCTCAAGGACTGTTTGATGAATTTCCATTCCCTAATATCAGAGTTTGCTTGACTAGTATCCGTGTTTTCCGGTACACCTCGCACAATTATATTTTTTTCCGCGAAAACACTTTTCGCGAGATTCTTTATTGTGATTCCATATCTAGTAACGGGAAACACTGCTGCCTTCAGGTAGGAACACAGGTATTTTTAAAGAGCAAGAGAGAAGTACTAGTCTCCACTCTTCAGTAATAAAAACAGGAGGTCTATCGACCTATATTAAACCTTGCAGTTTGTAACACTGTGGAGGTCCAATCTCGTTTTGAATATATCAACAGAAGGTACTGATATTACGTGTTCTGGTAGAGAATTCCAGTAATTCACTACTCGGTGCGAGAAGCGAAACGCCAGACGTAAACGATTTAATCTAGGTTTTTGAACTTTCTTCGAATGTCCTCTCAAATGATCAGTCCTAGACGGAAGTAAAAGATAAGACATGTTAATACCAAGGTCATCGTTCAGTATACGATAAACCAATATCAGATCACCCCGTATTCCACGGTGAGATAACTGAAATAAGTTGATGTGTCTCAGTCTGTCATCATAAGATAGGCCAGATAGGTCTTTTACCATATTAGTCCCTCGGCGTTGGACTCTTTCCAGCACATTATTTATTTATTTATTATTAGAAGCTTTATTCAACATTATATTTTTGGTCCAACGCCGAGGGACTAATATGGTAAAAGACCTATCTGGCCTATCTTATGATGACAGACTGAGACACATCAACTTATTTCAGTTATCTCACCGTGGAATACGGGGTGATCTGATATTGGTTTATCGTATACTGAACGATGACCTTGGTATTAACATGTCTTATCTTTTACTTCCGTCTAGGACTGATCATTTGAGAGGACATTCGAAGAAAGTTCAAAAACCTAGATTAAATCGTTTACGTCTGGCGTTTCGCTTCTCGCACCGAGTAGTGAATTACTGGAATTCTCTACCAGAACACGTAATATCAGTACCTTCTGTTGATATATTCAAAACGAGATTGGACCTCCACAGTGTTACAAACTGCAAGGTTTAATATAGGTCGATAGACCTCCTGTTTTTATTACTGAAGAGTGGAGACTAGTACTTCTCTCTTGCTCTTTAAAAATACCTGTGTTCCTACCTGAAGGCAGCAGTGTTTCCCGTTACTAGATATGGAATCACAATAAAGAATCTCGCGAAAAGTGTTTTCGCGGAAAAAAATATAATTGTGCGAGGTGTACCGGAAAACACGGATACTAGTCAAGCAAACTCTGATATTAGGGAATGGAAATTCATCAAACAGTCCTTGAGGCTCAAAAACATACTGACTCAACATGTGACGAGACTAGCCAAGAAGGACGGTGATTCTAGACCCCAGCTAACGAGGATAACTTTCCCATCCTCCCACATGGCGGTTGCAACTCTGGAAGCATTTCGTGCCTACAGACGTCGGTTGCCAACTGGAATCCACATGCACCCGGACAGGCCATATGAAGCCAGAACCAAGCACAAGGGCAATTTGGAGTTGACCATTCCACTCGTGAACTGTCTTGATCATAAAATTAACGTGTAAAGGACAGAGCCTACCAACTCGGCAAACCTTATATAGGTAGGCTAACTGTCTATTGACGTAAGGCTCATACAAACAAACAGGAAGAGGCTCACGTGTTT